CGTCAGTAGCAGCCGGAACTGGTCAATAGAAGAGGTCCGTCCTGCTCCCCGACAACGCTCGTCCGCACGTTCCGCAAATCATCGTCCAAAAATTGAACAAATTGAGCGCCAAAGTTCTGCTCCACCCACCAAACTCCCCAGACCTTTCGCCAACCGACAACCATTTATTCAAGCAATTAGATAACTTCCTCATCTGTAAAGTCTTCGCTAATCACGACCAAGCCAAAAACGGCCTTGGTCAACTTCATCACATAATTTTCATGCTGACGGAATTAATCGACTTGCGTTACGCCAGGAAAAATTGACGATGACATCGATTAATTGAATTAATTGAATAAGTATTTACTGAGATATTACAGTTCACAGTAGACTCATAATAGCGGACAAAACTTTCTAAACAACCTGATATTTATACATTTTTCTTGATCATATTCAGTCTTGATAGAATCATTTAGTTTTTCAATTTCGGAAGTTAGGAATCCAAGAATATAATGAAACAGTTATTTCTAATCTCAATTTTCTCTGACACACCAAAAGTTGGATTGAAGTTTTGAAAATACTCGTAGTGGGAGACCACTTGAAGCGATTTTCTCATCCATATTGAAGAATTTTTCAGTTTGGCTCCAAAAAAACTGCCTTTTCTGCCAAAACATAAATGATATATATTCGCAATTGAAGTAACGTCAATGTCTTCTCTACGCCCTAGAAAATAATACTGAAAAGAAATGCGTATTAATTATTCTGACGAACCGTATCAAAGGCAAGCTTCGTGCTAATGCTAATACTAGGTTATAATCCCGCCAACACGGCGACGTCTGCGAAAAGCACTTTTCAGGAAAAATGATGATGTGGGTTTGTCGGGGATATTCTTCATCCATTAGAGGTTGTTGCATGATCCATCAAAATTATTAAGTGCACCAGTGTGTTGTAGTTGTAAATGTAACCGCAGACGGAAACGCAGAAAGTCCTTACATATCAGGTCTAGGGAATTAGAATAATAGATTAAGTATAATGAAGGAAAAACATGTGGATAAGATATATAAATTGGTGTTCCGTTCATTTCGATGTTTACATGAAGTTAGGGGGATTTTTACGTTATAAAATGAGATATTTACCACTGAATTCACACCATACGTGAATAGATATACGAGAGTGGTTCGAGAAATACGCGGCCCAACAAAGAAAACACAAAAATTGAAAAAAAATTATTAAGTTTCCAGCAGAATTTCCTTGCAGCTCTATACACTTTTCCCAGCGGAGTTCAATAAGTTCGAAACCGTTTTTATAATAACTGTTTTGCTCCTCAAAATAGCCAATAGCTAAATCTGGCGAATGGGATGCATGTGGTAGCAATTCAAACTTTAATTGTTCAATTTTGATCATTTCGATGAAACAACACTTTTTTCTTAAACAAATGCAGCCGTTTTTGCTTGATTTCTTCACTCGATGAAAATTATCCCACGCGGTGCCATGACGTTGCTTGCAGAAGCCTTCTTTGGAGTCGGTTCACTCGTTCACCGGAAAAGTTCGCTATTAATGGCTGCCAAACAAATACTAAATAACGCAGCGTCTTCAAACTTGAAATACATGCTTTATTGATTGTTTTCTTTCTCATAGAGTGATATTTTTCAATCAACTACCGCCATCTCTAGATCAAGCCAAGTAATTCTGGGACAACCTTCGTGACTGAAATTGCAAGTAGGTTTCTGCCAAAATCTGTTTCTGTCTATTTTCCGTTAACCAGCTGTCGCACCCCTATGAACGACAACCCTCAGAAGTCGAAACTTGTGCGAGCTAAAGACTAACGAGGTCTTTTAACTTGTGATTTGTAACACGGGTTGGACGATTGCAAGTGAAAATCGATCGTTCAGCCTGGGGCTTGAACCATCGACCAACACGGCGGTCGATTCGAGTGAGTGAACAAAGCACTCACGTCAAACCGACCGGCTACCGAAACTGAGATATACCTATCAGCTTCTTCTGAAGCAATCTATGAAGCATATGTTTCAAGTTTTAAGACGCGGCGTTGTTTAGTATTTGTTTAGCAGACATCAGCAGCGAATATTTTTGGTGAATTTGTAAGAATGAAGAAAATTGGTCATCGTTATGTTTGAAAAATCTGTTTAAAATCTGTTTTTCCGTTAACCAGCTGTCGCACCCCTACGAACCACAATTCTCAGAAATGAAAACTTGTGCGAACTTAGTATTAACGAGGTCTTACCTTTTAACGTGTGATTCCTAACACTGGAAAGACGATAGCAAGTAAAAATCGATCGTTCAACCTGGGGCTTGAACCACCGACCGACACGGTAGTCAATTCGTGTCAGTGACCAACCGGTACAATTTGAAATGTCTCAGCCCAACCAATATAAAAGATGAACTGAATTCTACTCTGGGTGAGTCTGTTCCTTCGTTTACAATAGTAAAATATTGGGTAGCAGAGTTTAAACGAGGCCGTACGAGCTGCCAAGACGAGCATCGCAGTAGTCGACCACCAGAAATGGCGAGAAAAATCCACAAAGCGGTACTGAATGATCGTCTACTGAAAGTGCGCGAGCTAGCAGACTTAGTAGGCACTTCAAAAAGTTCGATATTTCGTATATTATCTGAACATTTGGACATGAGAAAGCTCTGTGCAAGATGGGTGCCGCGTTTGCTCACACTCGAGCAAAAAAGTATCATGAAGATGTTTCAATCGAGTGTTTAGCAAAGTTTCATATTAACAAAGCGGAATTCTTGCGTCGTTTGATAACCATGCATGAAACACGAGTTTCTATCACTTTGCACCCGAGACAAAAAAAAAAATTAAACAGTGGACTCAACAGGGAGAACAGGATCCAAAGGAGGCGAAGACCGTTTCATCTGCAGTTAAGGTCATGGCATCGATAAATATATCAACGGCTTGTATTATGCAAACTTATTGCAACGTTTGAGTGAAGAAATTGAGAAAAAACGACCGTAGTAGGCTGAGAATAAAGTGTTGTTTCATCAAGATAATGCACCAGCTCACAAATCCAGTTTGGCAATGACTAAAATTAACGAATTAAAGTTTAAATTGCTACTTCATGCATCCTCTTCGCCAAATTTAACCCTCTTGGGCTATTTTCTGTTTCTTGAAAAAATGGCTCAGTGGTCAAAGATTTTACAACGATGAAGAACTGATGTCGGCAGTTGAATGCTATTTTGAGGAGCAACACAGTTCTTATTATAAAAACAGTATCGAACTTATTGAACGTCCCTGAGAACAGTGTATAGAACTGCAGGGAGATCATGTTGAAAAATGAATACATTTTTTTCCAATTTTTTTTTGTTTTCTCCGTTGGGCCACCCTTGTATTATATATAAAATTCAACACGAATATTCGGTGCTCACTGCAATATATTTTCTGCTGTATTTTATAGTACAAATCAATGAAAATATATGTAGAGATGTATTCATTCGAGAAATGTATTTCCTCATAATTGCTAACCTCAGTTTCACAAATATCTCGATCAATACTTCATTTGTTGCGTATGTGCGAAATTGTTTTCGAACTGTTACTAGTACATACGTAACAAAATAAGGTCATAGCATTATTGATTCTGGAGTCGGTCTGCCCGGAAAATAAACATAAATCAAAATTCGCCTCAACTCCTAATCATTATGCTACCCGCAAAAATAGACACCTACTGAAACTCCCATTACCTACTGAAAATCTCACCAGAGACTCTATTTTCTATATTGCTGGCAAGATGTTCAATCACTTAGCAGTTGATATTAGGTTAGGTTAGGTCCAAATTGAGTGGGTCTATTCGACCCTCCAACGCAACCCGCAAGGGTTCATTGTGGCTCACATCTATTTACATTCGACTAAATAAACCCAGCTTCTTAACGAAGCCGATAAGTTTGTATGGTGAGTGGTCTTTCAGGTCAGATGGTAAGAGTACTGCTCTTCCGAACTATAAAAACATGATTCGGTCCCCAGCGGGGCAGGCACAAAGTATATGCTCTGCTGTTTCATCATTTTCCGAACAGGTGCGACACACACTGTCTTCCGACAGTCCCAAGTCTCTGCATATGATGATTCAAATGACAGTGACCTGTAAGAAGGCCTGTTAGACATCGTAGTTCATCCCTACTGTAGTCCAACAATTGTTTGGTATCAAGCTTCGACGGGAGAATAAACGCCTTAGAGTGAGCCAATCCTGGAAGTTTCTGCCAGAAGTCCGTAAATCTTCTTGCCATCCAGATATTCAATCTTTGTTTGGCAAAACCTAAAGCGATGCAAATGGCAGGTTCCGGTCCGATGAAACTGCTTGCAGCACCTTCCTTTGGAACGTAGTCAGCAGCCTCTTTGCCTTCTAGGCCAGTATGGCCAGAAATCCAGAGCAGAGACAATCTGTTAAGTTAAGCCAAGAGCTTCCAACGCAGGTTGGAGGTTGGATTCTTCTAATCTCTCCGCACACAATTCAATAGCGTGAATTTCCTTTAGAAATACAGTCGCATAGGTTCCTAGGCAGGTTGATATCTCTGTCCTGGGTCTGCGACTGAAAACACCTGCACCAGACCGGAAAGTGTTTATGATCCATCTGTGAACCAACAACTATCTGCTCTTAATATTTCCTTCTACCGGAGGATCCAATCCTCTCGGGAACAGTAGTTGATATTAGGACGGCAATATTTCAGGTACTCTATTATGTTGTTTCCGTCTATACTATGTTTATTTCATTATCCTGACTGCCCATATCAGATAATTCAGGTTTTTAGTAGATATGAAATATGTTTTGACGATAGTCGTGTCACGAAGTGTTCTGGCGATGCATTGAATCTATTGGAGCTCTGGAGACACCCTACATTTTGTTTTATAAGAGAGAGGACATTATCAACCCTGTATCACTCTTCTAAACACAGAAACTTATTCATGAAGCTTCTCTGGTTTCACATAAATAGATAGATCAACGAGGAAAGTAAAATGAGATTCTAAGAGATTTTGTTGTTGGCTTCTGTAAAACGCTATAAAGTTGAGAGTTTCCAACTTAAATACTGTCCTTCTTCCTATACCTTCAACGAAACGAAGTTTTATAATTCATCTCTCTTCAGTTTCAGACTCTCTATTCTCCACTTCGGGTTACACCTTCGGGGCCCCGACGCCTCCTCCCGGCTCGCCGTACTCCCCGATCCCCGTCGCGCAGCTGGAGCTCCTCGCCAAGGGGTTCAACTCGAACATTATAATCCAGCAGCCGGGAGACTACCCGCAGAGTCCGAAGAAAATCCAGGAGAAGCACTGCGAGGAGAAGTGCTGCAGCTCGAGGCCGCAGAAAACATGCAACTGTCAGGTGAGTTGGACGGAATCCATCGATCGTCGATGGATTTATTATTTGTGAAGTCTTCATTTTGATTTGAGATTGCGAACATTTCTCGTCCTTCTATTGATTTATGTGTTAACGAAATGAACACTTTCACGAACAGTTTTTCTATATTCTCAATTTTCTCCTGTACGAGGTACGCTCAGAAAATAAGGGGAATTCTGGTACGGGAATTTTGATTTTTGAAAAGAAATTAGTCATCTACGTTTTTGTTGTTGGCTTCAAAATAATCTGTACTTGTGCCAACGCTGCTTCCAATCCTTTAAACTCTTCTCAAACTCGATCTTCAAGATATGTCTTCAGCGACGCGCTTCTAATGACATCCATGAAAATGTCACACGGAGCCATGTCTGGTGAATACGGAGGCTGGTACATCGTTACAGTATTGTTTCGGCCACAAATTCATGAACAAGCAGTTGAGTGAGAGTGAATGCATGCATTATCATGGTGCATTATCGGATTGCTTCACGTCAACTGGCGTTGAATTTGTAGGTAGTACCCACTGCTTATTGATCGCCATTAAACTCGAAGAATGCAGTGAGTGAGCATAACCTTCACGTTCGACCACAATTGTCGAGCCTTTTTCGGCCTTAGTAAGACACAGTGCCTCCAGTGGGACAATTGAGTCTTAGTTACGATGTCATATCCGTTAACCCATGTTTCGTCAAATGTTATAACGTTTCAGTAATTCTCAACTGTCGTTGATTTCATTTAGTGGATCCTGGGCAACTTCAATTCGCCTTTGTTTTGTTCAGAATACAACAATTTTGAAGAAAATTTTACTGCCACGCGTTTGAAACCCAACCGATATGCCAACATCATCAACGACTTTTCTGATCGTTATTTGGCGTTCGTTCATAACAATTTCTTTAACTTTTTTTACGTTTTCATCTGTTGTTAATATGCTCTGGCGTTTGTCATCTTCAACGTCTTCACGGCTATCTTAGAAACGCTCATACCACATAGGAATTTGTTAACATTTCACACACTTTGTTACAAATCATTTAATTTTTTACGCAAAACTTATTACAAATTCTTTGATTCATTTGTTTTATCAAACTGAAATCGCCTCATAAACCTTTCTTTAGCGGCTGCCACAGACAAAGTAAACAATGAATAAGTACAGCTGAAAAATGTATCTTACTCCAGGGGCATGTATACTAACATAATTTTAAAAAATTATCTCATATCTTTCCACGCTGTGGGTATCACTATAAATGGCTGAAAAGTAAACTATGATTACGAATATATCTGTTTAACATCTGTTTTTCCGTTAATCAGCTGCCGCCGTCATAATATAATTTCATTAATAACACAGGTCTGCGAAAAAAAAATTTTTGTCAGCTGCATGAGATATTTTTACTGAATTATGTTTTAAAGTGCGCTGATTTCAAAAGTGATGTCCATTTTTTTCTATCACATAAGGATTTTTTGCAAATTCAAACACAAAAAATTGGTTAAAACACTCCTTTATTCAAAATTTTCAAACAATAAATATTTTTTTAAAGATCCTTTTGCAGCGATTTTACAAATTGTTTCATCAACCCCAATTTGATATGGAGAGGGGGCAACAAAACCTTTTCTGGTGGTACCAAGGTAGTGTTTATATCATTTTTCTCTCCAGGTTTTAAAGTTTCTCGGGATGGCCAATCACTTTTTTTCCAGTGCTGTTCTCTGGCTCTGCTATCCCACAAGCATTGTCAGTATTTTGAAGTCCCCACAAATCATCCATTGATGGTCTTGATACGTGATTTTTTCCAGGATAATAGCCAACTCGTTATAATAATACTGCTTTAAGGCTAGTCTTAGATGAGTCAATGAATAGGCGCCATTCAGATGAGTCATACCTTATATCAAAGCGATGTATGAGTTCTTCCACATTATTGCAGAAAACTAAATTTCCTTCTTTTGAGAAAAACTGGGTAAATTCTTTTTCTTGGTGTCTGTACCAGTAGAAAGAAGTGCCAGGTGATACAATGTTTTTATTTCTCAATCTAGAACCTAACAGTGCGGCTGCATCTTTTGAAATACATAAATCTCTTACTAAATCATTGAGCTCACCTTGACAAAATAGTTGATGCCTTTCATCTTCGTCAAAAGATAAATCTGAGCTTGATTCACCCGGAAGAGGCAATGTAGCTTCGTCCTCCAACTCGCTAGGGTATTCATCCAAACAGGAAGGTGGTTGCGGGATAGATATCTCGGAGCTATGGGGCACTGGACGTATAGCTGAGTTAAGATTAGGATAACTTATGTTTCTTTTGTTTTTTGAATTGAATCCCTTTACGTCAACTGAGAAGAAGTAGCAGTCAGTGGTGTGATTTTTCTGCTTACGTCATATCATAGGAATTCCAAATCGAAATGCATTTTTCTTTCCCTTAAACCATAAACGAAGATCTTCTTCGCATATTCTACACACCTTATGCGGGGCTCATGGTTTATCTTGATCACCAATTTTTAATTTAAAGTAGGCAAAATAAACTTTCCTCACAAAATCACTTATATTTCTCTGTTGACTTTTAATAGCGAATTCACCACAGATATAACAAAAACTGTTTGGAGAAATAACACAACCCCTTGTAGCCATGATTAACAGACAAGAGCACTGTTCACTTGAATATCAGTATGTCTACTGAGAGTTTTCTTTGTTTCAAGCGATATACACTAGGCGTCAATTGAAGGTATAAATGCAACTTAATATGCTAGAACTTATTTTGCGCCAAAATAACAGGAAAAGATTGTAGCAATTTTTCTTTAAAAATTATGTGCCTAAATTTTAGTTTGCATATAATTGTGTAAAAGTGTACGTCATTTGACTTGTCTCAACATGTTAAAACATTCCCTGTCTCACCAACAGCTCAGGATGTTTTTCTCCATTATCAAATATAAATCATATAGGTTTATTACCAATGAACATAGATACTGCAATATACATAAAAACTTATGTGATATAATAATTTGAATATTTTTTCTGTGTTTGGGAGGTCAAAATCTGTAAGAAAATGTAAAAAAATCCTATGCAGTTTTTTGGTCGCAGACCTGTGTAATCCGTCTCTTTGGTGAAAGAAATCAAAATAATGTTAATTAAAGATAAAATACACAGCTGTGTCACAAAGTGACGGATACACGCCATAAAATAAACAAAAAAAAACTATTTTCATAAATATTCTAATATTTTTCTTAATAGGAACGGTACTTGACTCATTTTATAATGAAGAAATGTTTCTGAGCTAAATCATTTCTTGAAAGGCATTCTAGTCGTCGATGAAGTAGCACGTGAAACTCGTTTATTCTGGGAAATAATAGCATTCAAGGCATTTTGTCGACATATAAATATTTTTTTGTTCGAGAAATTCACGTATTTTACGAAATCTCAAATTAGTTTAGAATGGAAAACTTGACCAAACAGTTGATTACTTGAAACATTAGTAATTGTTTCATAGATTCGCATATTTTTTGTAATTAAAAATGTTTTAAGAATTGAATTTTTTGATTTGTTTCTATTATCTTTACAATTGATCTTGCAAAATTATTAGTTTTTAAAAGCATTTAGAAATTTGACCTTAGGAGAAAGCAAGAGGGTAAAATGGGCCTGAAATTCTGGGTTCCTGAGCTGAATTTTATAAACTGAAGATCCAGTGGCCTATCCTTTGTTGAATATTCGTTTCAGACTACCGGTAACAAATTATTCAGTAAAGTAAACTGAAGTATATTTTATTCGGTTCTACCAGCTAATCAGGACCAACTGGTTCAGATTATGAAATATAAACTCACAGGAAGACCTCCAAAATTCTCCTGAATCTGACTGAAACTCAACTTTCTTCTGGTTTCAGTCTTGGATTTATAATAAGGATTTATGACTGCAAGTATTTGGTTCTCAACACTTCGAATATGAACATAATCAAGAAGTGAAAAGACAGGCCCTGAGAAAAGTGTTCATTCTATTTTTTCATTTTTCTGGTCGATGATTCAGAGAAAATAATATTATTTACAGCTTGGCAAATCTAGCTGTGCTTCTGAGATGCGCGAACGAAAAAGAGAAATGGTAAATGTCCACTACAAACTTTAATAAATTCGGCAAGTGTTGACAACTACCCATATACCAAAACATTTTTTGCGATGTTGATGAAAACACCACCATTTACATCCGCATATTCCTGTACCGATGCAGTGTCGCTATCCTCATCATGTGAATCAATAATCGGATCATGGGTTCGTTTTAGATGAAATGGTCGTCAAATTTCGTTGCTCGCTTAAAACGAGATTTCCATTCCATTCAGTTCAGCCCAAACCAACTCAATTGGATTCAAATCCAGGAGATATGGCGGTAATCATACAACGGAGTGATTTGCTGCTAGAAAGAGCTGATTTATCTCGTACCGCTTGAATTTTAGTTTATAGTTGTTTATAAGGGCATATAATTCAAGTTTCAGCATGTTTTTTCAATTAGAATATTCCTCTCTGTTGACCATGATTGCATATCGGCTTTTTTGGTCGATGTCGTTGGCATTTTGTTGATTTGTGTATTATGATATGGTGTATTATCGATCACCACAACGCTTCTCAACGGCAAATTCGGAATCTACTCTTCCGACACCCTTTTCTTATAATTATGAAAATTCATCTAATTTTTTGATACACCTGTATTGCAATTTGATTTCCATCTAATGTAAGCATTTAGCACCAACCCATTTTCACCACCAGACATTGCCCTTTACTAACAGGTTATGTTTAAACCTTCCATGGTATGACTACTTCAATCTTTTTGGTGCGTGTGTGAATATATGTTTCATCCATACAAATAATAGGTCGACATTCTTCTCTCCCTGCTACCCGGTAGTCAATATCTCGGATGATTGTTTTATTTATGCAAAATTTGAAAATTTTTTATACATTCCTTTTCATTTGGAGTTGAAAATGTATTGTTTCACCATTTTTAATTTTTTTTCATCTCTGTTTTGATTTGTCAT